CACAATTGAGCCCAAAATTTTGGTTGCTAAATAAGAGCGTTGTTAAGTGAGTTTCACCACATTTTCCAACTTGGCCACGCCCACCCGGTCACATGCCCACCAAGCCACTCCTACCCAGTCACATAACCACCAAGCCACTTCCACAAAACAGGCCACATCTGCAGAATAGGTTCTAAAAAAATTAGAACCACTGCCCCGCCCCCATCTATTCTCTGTCTCCTCAGTCCCAGATGATCAGGAGGAAATGGCGATTTTGCTATAACCTTTCCCTGGAGTAGGGAGGGAATGGAGATTGTACAGTATCTTTCCCCTGCCATGCCCACCAAGCCATACCATGGCTACCAAGCCACGCCTACTGAACCGGTATCTACAATTTGGATAACTCAATTCTTGGCAGCAGTTTAAAGCAAAAGATAAAATTTTATCCTTGCATTTTTCCTGACATACTTCCAAATTGTGCCTAGAAGGTTTTTAGGTTAGGAACATAGAAATGAACATAAGCATTGTATATGAGGAGAGTTTGATCTGGTACAGTAAAGCAGTTTTTAAAATCTGATATATCATATTTTTGGTGTATAAGATGCACCTTTTTCCCCCCAAAAGAGGCTGAAAATCTGGGCGCATCTTATAGACTGAATTCAACATTTTTTGCCTCCCGAAGAGCCACCCCCTTCACCAAAATAGCCATGCATACCCTTATGGAGGCTTTCAGAGAGCTCCTGAGGGCCGGGGAGGGCAGAATTGAGCAAAAATATGGCTCGTTTTTTGCCCCCACAGCCCCCAGCAGCACTCTACAAGCTTCCATAAGGCTGCACATGCAATTTTTTTGACAAAAAATGGGCCCGTTTTTGCAAAATTTGCCAATTTCTGCTCGCTTTTGGCCTCTCACCTACCAGGAGCACTCTGCAAGCCCCTCCAAGGCTATTCATGCCTTTTTTTAAAAAAAAAAATGGGCGCATTTTCATGAAAAACGGGTCATTTTGGGGAGATTTGCAGAGTGCAAAATCTTTTTTTTTCACTTTTGGAAAGCTCTTTAACTGATTGATGAGAATTACATTGATCAAGTGCTGTGCCAGCAGAAACAAAGTCTTAGTTCTCCAGATTGTCAGTTATTTTCTTCTCCAGCAGATGGATAAATACACCTGGAAACATCTACCTACCTACCTANGACCTGGGAAGAAGCAAGGAAGAAATGTGAATCTGAAAATGCAAAACTTGCCACCATTGTAGACCCCTATGCAGAATCATTCATATGGCTGCAAGTGCTCCAACATAAGGAGCCTGTATGGATTGGACTAAGCAGCAAAGAGGTAAGAACAGAATCTATACATTCACAGTGAAGCCCTATATTTAAAATTGTATACTTGGAAAAATTGTCACATAGATAAGGAACTCAAGAAAAGGAGTTTGTGAGACTAGAAGGTGTTGTGGATGCAGGTGATCCCTGTTTAGCAACTATATTTGGGATTGGTGACTTAAACAAAAACATCACTAAGTGAAACTGCAACTTTGATTATTATGATCTTAAGGTTGTAAATGCAAAGATTAGTCATAAAGATACTCCTTTATCACTGTTGTAAGTGCCAAGATCACTAAATTAGGCACCTGACTTGACATATATGTGGCCATTTCCTAAATGGACCTTGAAGACTAAATGCTTTGATAGAATTGATTTATTTCTGTAATTGATTTACATTGTTTCCATTTTAAGCAATTCTGGATGGTCCTCTCCTATTCACTACAACCAAGACTAACAGAATTGCTGTTGCTAAATGATGTTGTCACACCATGTTTCACTAAATGCGTGCTTTGCTCAGCAATGTAAATTCCTGTCCCACTTAGAGTTGTTAAGTGAGGACTGGCTATAGTGAAATTAAACCAATAATACTTTGCATTGCACTTCTTGTAATTATTCCCTTATGCATTTTGGTTTCAGAGTGATGCTAGGTACAAGTGGATTAGTAACTGGAAGGTAGTGTACACTAACTGGGCTGACGAAGAACCATTGCATAAGGTAGCCTGTGTCTACCTAGACACTGAGGGTTATTGGAAAACAGGAAATTGCAGTGAAAAGTACTTGTCTGTTTGCGAGAGATATTATGGTAAGAAAAATATATAGACATAAATAATATGTCTATTTTAATAGAGTTTATGTATTGCACTAATTTTCAGTTAGTACCTAATTACTACAAAGTGGCTCATATCAACAAAAAGATAATATAAAATTTCAAAAACAGGTGGTTATTAAAGTTTCAAACAGAAAATGACACATTTATTTTATATCTTGTTCTGTTTTTCACTATACTGCTTATTATTACTACTATTATTAATCATTTTATTAGTAACACATTGTTAAAACATATGCATTTTATTTAATAAAGAAAACATATTTATTTCGTAACAGGTGTAGTGCCAACTGAGATTCCACAGTTGCCAGGAAAATGCCAAACCTCCAAAAACAGCCGTATATCTTGGATACCTTTTAGAGGTCATTGCTATAAAGTTTATGTTTTAAAGAGATCTTGGCCAGCAGCAGTTCTGATGTGTACTCAGATAGGTTAGTACCATTTTGAGCTACATAATAATAACAATAATATTCCATTCTTAGGGAAATTGCTAGTGTGTACATTATGGTTTGCCAATTGCACAGTGACAGATAGGACAGCACTCCAGAGGGCTAACAACATTGCCCAGAGGATCGTTGGTTGCCCTCTCCCCTCTTTGGAAGAGCTTTATAGCTCCCTCTGCCTTGCGAAAGTTCAAAACATTCTTAAAGATCCATCTCATCCTGGGCACCCATTTTTTGAAGTGTTATACTCTGGCAGACAGGACAGGATAATAAAAACAAGGACAACAGGCTCAAAAGCAGTTTCTATCCCAGAGCAGTAACTATATTGAATTCTACGGTATAGTGTAATATTAATGCAATATCAGGGGTTTTCAATTCAATTGTATAGAAAGAAAAGAATGTTTGTTTGTCCTTTATTTTTATAGTTATAATGTACGCTGAAGATGGCATTTAATTTTGTTGTATGAGGTGCAATGACAATAAACTAAACTAAACTAAATTTACAATTATTTTGAATACAGAAATCTGTGTCAAATCCAGCAAGCAACCCCAGGTTTTATCATATTTTATTCTATCCTACAAAGCCCTTGAAAGAAGAGAGTGAGAATATAGGAAGATGTCATTTGGAATGAGTATAATATAAAGTGACATAAATATTTTTCTACTTTTCACATCCACTGAAAATAATTACTAAAAGGAATGCTTCAACTGAACAAAAACTTCTGATAGGATGAAAGCAGAAACTTTCAGTGAATTTCATGATACAAGGCTAGAATGCTAGTTATTATAAAGATAAGATTCAGAGAAGCATTTATCACTAGATCCCTGATCACTTGAAGCCACCTAGCAGATGTAGTCACTTGAGACTTAGTATGATTGTTTAAGGGTCTTCAATATGTTTGGACATACCTAGAAGAAATGTGCACATGACAGCTCAGAAAGCAAAGTTGCAAACACTTTATCTTACTAGCTGCCATGTTACCTTCTGGGCATATTCACATATACTCACCTGAGCTCAAGAAGACCTTGATGAAAGATTAAAATTAATCTTAAAGGTTAACATTAACATTGATGAACAGGGAAATAGCTATGTCTAATCTAAAAAAGAAAAAGATTAGGGGTAACGTGATAGCTCCCTGCGAGTACTTAAGGAGCACTCACAGAGATGAGGGATTGACTTATTCTCCAAAGCATCTAAGAGTAGGATACAAAGCAATGGGTGGAAGCTCAAAAAGATATAGCCTACCTAGATCTAAAGAGAAATTTCCTCACAGTGAGAACAATTAATCAATGGAACCATTTGTCTACCCAAATTTTGGGTGCTCCTTTATTGAAGGGTTTCAAGGAAAGTTTAGACATTCATTTGTCCAGGATGAAATAAGAACTCCTGCCTTGGGAAGGTGGTTGGACTGGAAGACCTCTAACGTCCCTTCCATCCCTATGATTTTATGATGCATTTGTGCTGATCAGGCAAATGCTGTTCAGCTTCAGGGAGCGGGTCAAGAGAGATATTTTGATAAAAATACAGAATGTGCCTGAGTACTTGTCATTTATTATTTGCCATCATTTTATTCTGTTTCTATAGCTAATGACATACAAACTCATCAAATTACATCATAATTCTATGTAATAATGAATTCATTATAATATATTTTCTTTTATAGAAGAAAATCATATATATGATATTGGAAAGCAAAAATTGTAATTTTTGGAAGCTTTTTAAAAAGCATCTTAAAAATAGAGAATATTTTGAAATATCAGCTTCTTTGGAAGACTTGCTAGTTTTCCTGATTTTTTTTTTTAATATTTTGGTGGGGCTTTTCAAATACTGTGGAGAATTTAGAACAAAATAAATTTGTCTTTCCAATAAAGGAGAATAATTGTAACTCGGGGTTGAAATGAGGGCCCCTTGTTCTTTCTCAGCTTGATTGCTTTCTTGCACATGTTTTGTTACCCAAATCAGATAACATCATCAATGCTGCATTGATGATGTTATCAACTTTGAGTAATGAACATATGCAAGAAAACAACCAAGCTCAGAGAGTACCAGGGTCTCTTGGTTCCATTGCATTGTGCAGAATACTTTTCTTGCAGAATGTTTGCTTAAATTACCAGGTTTTACTTTTTGTATCATTATACCCAAAGAATAAACTGCCATGGCTTTCATCATAAACATATTAAACAATACAGAACTGATTGGTTTTAGAAAGAAGACTATTTGCTTCTTTAAGATATTCAAAACTAAAATTATTGCTTGTGCTGGACAATAAATTATTGATCATGGTTTGTGGATTGGCCCTATTTTGGTGGCATGGGAATAGTGATTTTTTTTTTTTTTTTTTTTTTTTTTTAGTGATTTTATTGACATTTGTAGGCCGCCCTTTTCCCTGAGGGGACTCAGGGCGGCTCACATAAAATCGGGGA